AGGGGAATGAAGGGGGATAGGAAAAGGGGCAGTGGCTGGAAGAGAGTGTGGAACCAAGGAATTATTTTGTTTTGTTTTTAAGATGGGAGATGGGCCAGACGTGGTGGCTCACACCTGTAATCCCAGCACTTTGGGAGGCCAAGGTGGGTGGATCACCTGAGGTTAGGAGTTTGAGACCAGCCTGATCAACATGGAGAAGCCCCGTCTCTACTAAACATACAAAATTAACCAGGCGCGGTGGCGCATGCCTGTAATCCCAGCTACTCAGGAGGTTGAGGCAGGAGAATCACTTGAACCCGGGAGGCGGAGGTTGCGGTGAGCCGAGACTGCGCCACTGCACTCCAGCCTGGGCAACAAGAGCGAAACTCCATCTCAAAACAAAACCGGTGGGAGATGATTGCATAAAGACTGGTGATCAGAAGAGAAATCTGTGGCGGGGGGCCCTAGCCACGATGGAGGGCCTGGTTTGGGGCAGGCGTGTCAGAGATTTCCGGGGCCCTGGCTGGCAGTGTGGGCTGGGATGTGGGAAGATGGGGTGTTTCTTTTTTCTTTCTTTCTTTTTTTCTTTTTTTTTTTTTGAGATGGCGTCTTGCTCTGTCCCAGGCTGGAGTGTGGTGGTGCAATCTCCACTCACTGCAAACTGTGCCTCCCGGGTTCAAGCGATTCTCCTGCCTCAGCCTCCCGAGTAGCTGGGATTACAGGCGCCCGCCACCACACCCAGCTAATTTGCGTATTTTTATTAGAGATGGGGTTCACCATGTTGGCCAGGATGGTCTGCCCACCTGAGCCTCCCAAAATGCTGGGATTACAGGCATGAGCCACCGCACCGGCCAGTGGAATGTTTCTGTCTCATGATTTTGCCCTGTCGATGCTGCGAGTGAGAAAGAAGCACCCTGAACTGTGTGCACCCAGGAAAATGAGGGGGAGGAGCTCACGTCGGGGGCCTGTGCTGCCGCGTTGCTCTGTTCGGGACGCGTGCTGTCTCGGGGTTGGGATGGAGGACAAGAGGTGAGGGAGCATGCAGAGGGATGGGCTGCAGACCCCATGCACCAGGACCCCATGCACCAGGACGGGGCAGCACCAGGAGGGCACCGAGGGGTGGGGAGGAAGCAGTGGGGGCTTTGAGGAGGCTGAAGGACGTGGTGTTGTGGAGCAGGAACAGGGGAAGCGGGAGAGAGATAAAGACATGCATTTGGGATGGCACGGCCTCTGGTAATGACCAGGTCCAGGGTGCGCCCTTGGAGCTGAATGACTGAGGAGGAGAAGAGGGGAGGACCATGCACGGGGATCTCAGAGGCCAGGGTGCTGGTGAGTCAGCCCTGTGGATGGTGAAGTCATGGAGAAGAGCAGGAGCTGGGGTGGGGGGGATGGTGAGCCAGGAGCTACGGTCAGCAGAGAATGAGGGGAAGTGACGGGGGGTGCAGCTGATGACAGCTTTAGTGGGGAAGAGGGCGGTGCCGCCAAAGAGCAGGACCCTCAGAGGGAGGGCAGGTGGCTGCGAGGGGTTCAGGCCAGAGGGACTGCTGTAGGGAGGGCAGGCGGCTGCGAGGGGTTCAGGCATGTGGGGTGGAGAGCAGTAACCGCCCAGGGGCAGTGGTGTGGCCAGAAAGCCAGGCTTCACATAAGACAGGAAGGGACATTCGGAGTGGACAGTGAGGTCTACAGCAAACTTTGCCAATCACACAGGGCACAGTGGAAGGTTGGTGAAGGCAGAGGGGTCACTGGAATAAGTTATGGCACGTCATGGAAAAGGAGAGCTTGCGTGGAGGGGCAAGCACGGTGGATGGTCCTGCTCAGCGGTGATGCAGGTGCTTCCTTTGGTGGTACGATGCCTCCAGGAGGAAGCTCCTACAGACTCCCCTCCCCACCCACCCTTCACCCTTCCACTTTCCTTTCACCTGTCCACCCACTCTTCCACCCATCCATCCATTCATCCTTCCACCCACCCATCCATCTGTCCACCAGTTTACCCACCCATCCACCCATACTTCTATCCATCCATGCATCCATTCTCCCACCCA